TGTGTGTGTGTGTGTGTGTGTGTGTGTGTGTGTGTGTGTGTGTGTGTGTGTGTGTGTGTGTGTGTGTGTGTGTGTGTGTGTGTGTGTGTTCATGAACAAATCAACACTGAAAGGAAACTGCATCGACAGCTTCTAGTTTCTACATCAATATTTGTAAATCTGACAAAAGTTACCACCACAGTCATTAGGTAAACTAACACCTCGGGTATACTGGGCCACCAGGGGGCGCTCAAGAGGTTTTCGCTTCAAACCTGGCACAAAGTTGAAAGAATGTGTTCGTGTGTGTTCTTCTGCACATCCTCTGTGAGTCTAATGTGCCTCAAGAAACTGTTCCTCTCTTTATTCTGTGCACGAGTGAAGAGCCCAGGACGAGTTTCCTTCAGACTGATGAAGTTAATCTTGTGCCGGATCTGGAGGCTAGTAGTTAAAACTGAGGAAAAACAAAGGATAAAAAGTTAGTGTGACCTTTTTCCTCTTGGAGAAAAGTCACATGAGCCTCGCTCAGCTTTACATGCCCCCCCCCCCACACTCATTTACCCACAATCTCTACAAGTGCTGCAGTCGGACTTCTCTCTTTCATCACACGAGTCCAATGTTTCTGCCCCAAAAACAACAGATACTTTTTGTGTGGAATATTTCTGGCAAATCTCTGTTAACAGCTATCTGCAAATGATTGTTGATAAACCGTGAGCCGATGTTTTTTCCCGAGCGGTCAAAATAGAAACCTTGAGGCCTCCGGGCGTTAGAATCTTATCTCTCGCCGGCAGGTTCTGTTCATTCACAGGCAACATATGTTTAATGGAGAGAAACACAACCTGAACTGTGACCTGCTCTAAACTTAACCTCATCACAACTCACATCTCACCCCAACAACACATCCATTAAAGCTCTGATCCTACGAGTAAGATACACACACACACACACACACACACACACACACACACACACACACACACACACACGGTTTAAACATCACAAACACACACTTTTACGCACACACCACAGACCTCGGATGAAGGCACCTGTTATATTTTCACTAACCCTCCCTCCTCTTCCTCACCCCTCCTCCCCCTCCTCCTTGAGCTCCAGCTGTGAGGGTGGGGGGGGGCGGCATTAACCGTGCAGACCCCACCCCCCTCCCCTCCCATTGGTCTGGGTGAGGGCTCCAGGCTGGCGGGAGGAGGCGGCGGCTGCTGCGCGGAGTGTGACAGCTTTGCAGCGGCTGAGCGCAGCCTGAGTCGCCGGCTGCTCAGCGGGAGAACCTCCTCCTGCTCCTCTCTGATCTCCCCACAGATATTATTCATGCTGCCGGATAAAGAAAAGCGTTAAAAGAAAAAAATAAATCCTCCGGGGTCGTGTTTGTGCGATGCCTGAGCCGGGACCTGAGCGCACGGATGCGCACTGACCCGCAGCGTCGCTCCGCTGTTGGCACGTTGTTCCTCCGGCGCGTCCTCGATCCACCTGCCCGAGCGCGCCCGGCACCTGCAGGAGCCCATGGAGGGATGTCGCGATGCTGTGCTCACGGAGAACTAAAACTTTGGTGTCGACGTGCGTGATCCTCAGCGGCATGACCAACATCGTGTGCCTCCTGTACGTCGGCTGGATCACCAACTACGTGGCCAACGGCGGCCACAAAGTTGCGGAGAGCGGCGGCGGCGACGAGGCGCAGAGAAAGTTGGAGGAGGACGGTAAAGGAGAAACCCTGAGGATTATGGAGAGACTGGACCGACTGGAGAGCGTGGTCAACGAGCACATTAAAGGTCAGTGGTGGTGGGGGGGGGGGCTGCTCAAAGGTCACGTCAGTGTTTGATTTCCATGGTCGTGAAGGAGCCTCCAGAGAAAAGTGACAGCATTTTACATTTCCATGTCCCTGCTGGAGGACGATGATGTCACGTGTCCATTAATCAGTTCGCTGAAAAACAGAAAATCCATTTTAATTACAGCGAAGTCATCAAGATATTAACTTTGAAACCAGTCGATAGAAATAATCATCAGGAAATAAATGTCACATTACCGATGATTGATGAACTCAGTTAAAAGACAAACTCTTGAGGTGGAACATTTAAACCGGTTTCACCTCCTCCGCGCTTTTGTAAATGATTCATCCACATGTTCACTGAACCAAATGCGTCTGATGGCAGATGATACTCCTGAGATAGTAAACAGATGTGGGCCACATCAGGCAGCGATGCGTCGCTTCTGGGCCCAAACAAAATGGATGAGTGGTAAAAACTGAATATGGCTCAAATAGCACAGAAGAACTTGGGGCCGCCTTCATGTCTGGTTGTTGTTGTTGCTTCCTCGTGGTCCAGATCTGGCAAACTGGAGCGGATCGTTCCACGTGGTCTGTGGGCCGGATGCAGTGTGGGACAAATCTGGGACAAAACTATGTTTGCTATATGGGTATCTGTTGATAAGAGCGTTTTACAGACATTTAGTTGTTCTGGCATTGAACACACGCAACAATTAGTGATTGTTTAACAATTGTTTATATATTCTTTTTCTTATCGTTGCATATTGAACATGTTGAGTGTGGGAACACAAACAAACAGTTCAGTTCTGTTGTTTCGATTCAGATCAGAAATGATTTCTTCATCGACTTCTTGTGACGTCAGAAATCCTGCTCGTCTCAGCAGGTCTCCGGACCGAGAAGACACTTTCCGTCTTCGGCAGGTTGACGTGGAAACAGCCTGAACTCTGCTCGGACATCAGTTCGTACAGAGGAGGTCAAACATTCGTGGATTAATCGTCTCACAGGACAAAAGAGAAAACGTTTCATGAGGACTTAAGTTCCCGCACAGACACAGCATCAAATCCACTGACAGCCAGTGTCCCATTTGAATTTGTATTTGTATCATCGCCCCATTTTCAGCCTCCGCTGGGCAAATCTTAAAGTCCAGCCTAAATTGAGAAATCAGATTAGGTCGTTTGTCTGAACAACAGTAATCAGGTCAGAGCTGGACAAACGTTTCCTTCCGGGTTAGTCTGTTCACTGTCAGTTCTGTTCATTGACCACAATAGTTTTCTGTCTGGCTCCTCCATATTTTAATTATCGTCCTCAGTGAGTCAACAAATTGAAAAAGTGGGACAAACTCTGTCTTTATCCTCAGATAAATGGGACATTGCATGATCCTCCAACTGAATGTAGGATTTAGGGAGAAATATGCAGTGAGACGATTAACGCTGGAGCCGAAGGGGATAGTGACACTCAGATGAAGTAATAATTTATTAAACATGTTAAAACAAAACATATTGGAGTGATGTATAAAACAGAACATATACAGTGTAAGAGGTTTGTACATCTAAGATACTAAATTAACACAGAAAACGAGAATTGCCCAGTTAGATTAGTCAGATTAGTTAAATCATCGATGTCTGTGACAAGTTTATCTTCTTTCAAACGTCACCTTCATCTTTTCTGCTGCTGCTCAGGTCGAATCTGTCATAAATCCAGATGTGTGTCAGGTCAGAGTGTCAGTTTACAACAGGGGGCGCTGTGTCCAAACTGGAGGGGTTTAACAGTTTGTAGCGTCCACATGAGCAGCAGACGTTTCAGATGTAAATTGGAGAAGATGAAAACTTTTCCTCACACTTGATTTAAACATGTTTTCTGCTGCGGAGCCTCAGATCCTCTTTGTGCAGACAGATGTTTGTATGATGCCGAACCCGCTCGTCATTAACACGGAGAGAGGCAGAGTGATGTGAGCCGTTCAGACATGCTAATAGAATCTGTATAGGCTGTGGGGTGAGAGCGGGTGAGTAAATGTATCCCTCGGAGTGCCAGGCACACTCTCCTACACTGCATCGCTCCTCGGAGCCGGTGCCAGATTACATTATCAGCCAGGGGCTGATGTGTTTATGTGTTTATGCTTTGTCACTGATACAAAAAGACCAGACTGCAGAGCAGAGCTGCAGGTCTGAATGAGGATAATTCAGCCGTGAGAGAGCTGCAGAGAAAATACAACTGAATTTAGATTTTAGAAAAAAAACTTGATAACAGTCCTTTCACTGGTGTTGACTCAGAATCCGAAAAAAACAAAAAACAATTGCAGTTTGGAAAGAGAAAATAAAAAGTATTAAGACAAGAACAACTTAAAAATAGTTAGAATAATAAATACACCGTAAGCAAATAGAAATATGGAGTTTGGAATGGATGATGTCACAACTGTTGACGTCATAGACTAAAAAATAAAGATGAATAATGTCTCCACTTCCTCCCACGATCCAGAAATATGCGAACAATATCATATTTTGATGATGAATTTGGAGCCAGTAGTGATCGGGGACGGAGCTGCTGTGATGTCCTCAAAAACAACCATGTATGGAATATACTGCAACCAGCCACCAGGGGGAGATCAAGCTGATTTGGCTTCACTTTGTGGCGACTGTCACGTCGTCCATCTTTAGCTACAGGCCGTGGTTTGTAGGTTTAGTGCTTGAGAACTCTCTGGAAATGTACCGTGGTTGTAGCTACTTCGGTTCAAAATGTTATTTGCGATCACAGAAAAGCCTCCACATATTTTCTTCCTGCTTTTGAATTCCTTCTTGTCCGGCCGACCCGTCAGAAAGCTGTTAACGACTGGAGCATCTTCCTGTGAAACATAAAACTTGAATCATCACGAGAGCCGTCAGCTCGTCCATCTTACTGTAACGTCATGATGGTAGAAGACAGAGATGACTTATATCCCGTCTTCTCCATTAGTCTCTGTTGTTACATCTCTCTTCCCGCGACTCTTCCTTCCGCCCCCATCAATCAATCAATCAATACATCAATCAGAATTTATTTCTATAAGACTTTTCAGGAAACAACCCCCCCGAGTCGTCCATAGAGCAATAAATAACTTTGTTATAAATAAAACAGTCAGAACCAACAGGAACTGAAGAAACTCCGTCATTAATCTTATAAATTATCAATGAGGAAACACCAGAGGCAGAACACAAACATTTAAAATTCAGAATAACACAAAGAGACACTAATAGAGAAGTAGAGTGTGCAAAAAAAAACTGTAGAGACACAAAGAACAAATGAAAAATGACCAGAATTCTCTTTGCCAGCAGTTTGAATAAGTTCATCATAAACATTAAAACAAGTTCGAGAAGAGAATCTGGAAACGAGCAGCAGCTGCAACTACCCGCGGGTACACACACACAGAACAGATGAATATAAATACACATGCATACAAATACACGAGTGTTACGTAAATATATTAACAATGATCTTAAGCACTAAATGTCCCTGGACTTGTCGGTGTGTGTTTGAATTTAAAGAACACGTTGGATCTTGACGGAGGCTTGAGCTCTGCTGAGCGACGTTGGAGCTTCACTTGTGATTCACTTCATACGAGAACAGAACTTTACATCAGTGCTGCATCGACTTTAAACCTGCTCGGCTGTGGGCGTCCACCAGCGCTCGTCTGGTTCGCTGCAGAGTCATCGCCTTCCTGAGGAGCTGCTGGCTCCCCAACTCCTGTCTCGCCTTCAGACGCCGGCCTCCTCTTCTCTCCCTGATGACTTTGTGTAGCTCCTGGTCTCGGAGCCCAAGGTCTCGGAGCCCAAGGTCTCGGAGCAGGTGTAATTCTGAGTTTCCATCAAAGCCCCATTGTACCGATCTATCATGGGTATACATCCTCACACATCCTGTTGAGCTCCCGATGGCTGCGACAAACAAAGAGACACAAGTTGTGTTTCATTCTCACTCTGAATGAACCGATGAGCTGCTGACGTGTTGACGTGTTCGACCTCTGACCTTACACAGCAGCTCGCTCAGGTTCCATGTTCGTGCCGTGTTTCTTTGTAGGTTGATTCAGAATCGTCCTGTTGGGTTGAGTATGAGATGATCACACACACGCACGCACACACACACACACACACACACACACACACACACACACCCCTCTGTTTCTCTTTGAAGAATCGAACTCGTCCTGTTGGGAAACATACCCCGAGCTTTCATAACTCGAACAAGCGAAACATGAAACACTTGAGCAGAATGTCAACGTGTGGGATTTAAATTCTGCCGTCACGTTCTCTCACTCCTGGAAACAGTCAGATTGTCACTGAGCATTTTTCAGTCTGTGTCTTTGTCTCCGTCCTGATCATCGGTGACTCTGGCAGCTCTTGACAGATTTGGTCCTCGGGTCCATTTCCGCAGTGACGACATTTAAAAACACACAAGCCGACAAAAAACATAAGCAGGCTTCATCTTTGTGGAAGAGGCCAAACATCCGGGTCACGAATGACCCGTAATTTAAAAGTGTCCCATGTTGACATCTGTAGTTGTGTAGTCCTCAAAAATATCGTGATTATAACCCTCACATGTCGATGATGCCTGATGACATCATGTCCATATCTCAAACACATAAAATATTACATGGTTCAAATAACTTACTGAGTGTTGAGAAATATTATTTTCCAGTTTTTCTCTTGAGAAATGTTTCGGATCAATTTGTTTTATGTGTTTTTTGTAACGAAATCTGACGGAAAAAACATATTTTTTAAAATTTACAAGACAGTTTCAGTACTTTTATCAGTTATGAGCGTTTATCGACTTGTGCAGATCGTTGGATATGAAGCATTTGATAATACAAAGAAAAATAGACTGGAGGAACATTTACTGCAGAGGCCCAAATGTTAACTCTTTATATTTCTTCATGTCTTAATTGTTTACAACATTGTAAATATTCTTATCTTCATATTTCTCTGTATTTATATTGCATGTTTTTATCCCCTTGCTGCTGCAGAACAGCAAATGTCCCTCACGAAGGATTATCTCTTATCTTAATTCTTAATTCCCAACACTTTGACTGGATGTAGAATCGTTTCCATTCCGTTAGCTCGGCGGTAATGAGATGTGCTGTGGTGTCAGGTGGCTCCTCCGGCTGGTGCCATGTTTCACTGCCGGCTGTGCTGAGGCTCGGTGAGGAACCTCCGGCATATTCTAACAGCCATTCGTTCACAGCCATTCGTTCCTGCTCGGCGAGGCTGCGTAGATGTGAGACTCGCGATTAAAAGCACGAGAACGATTGTTTCTGACGCACAAAATGGATCCGTGGCCTCGATTCGAACGCGAGGATCTGTCTCCTCACATGTGCTGCTGTGTTTTGATCTGTTCTGCATTGTTTATTTCTATCCTGCCAAGTACGAGTCTTATTTTTAGTCGCCTCTTTATGAGTCAACGCAAGTTGATCCGTGTTGACAGTCTGCTGAACTGGAGGAGCGTGGACTTCTGTGTGTGTGTGTGTGTGTGTGTGTGCATTACAGTGTATGTTGCATGTCTGTTGTGTCATCAAACATGTATGACTATGGTGTGAGATGGGATGTGGATGTCATGGCCTCTCTATAGAGCATGTGTATCGTTGCATGAGTGGGTCCAGGCTGCAGCAGCAGAGTAACACACCGGTGCACGAGAACATGGCACTGACTGAAGGCTCCACATGTCGGTGACCTTCTAGTTGAGAGTGACGGAGATTGAGGATGAAACTACAGAGACTCGTGAAACTGAATGAAATATCACATCATCCTCATCAGTGTTGAACGATGTCATCGTCCTCTCACGCAGCTTCACTACACATGGAATGAAGAGTGATATCTGTTCCTGTGAATGTTTCCATCTGCTCTCTCTGGAGGAGGTGTGATGCTCCCAATTTTAGAAATGTCTCTTTCGTCAGCACCTTCCTCAAACAGCTCCGATCGGTGACGGAAGGATTATAAAGTCGTGTTTCAGGGGAATTCACACCCGTGATTAGTGGAAGATGCAGCAGATCTGTAAGACGGGATCCAGAATGTTCTCATTGATCTCAGAACCACCGTCCTCGTTTAACTGGACATGATGAAATATGTCAAGTAAATTACTTTTTCAGCCAAACAAGGAGGTACCAGGTCCCCTGGTGGACAGACAGGAAATGAGCCAAGAAAGAACCCATCACATTTTGGTGTAAATAAAGACAAAGGGGTGAATTTTTAAAAATCACTTTCTTGCCTCAAAGAGTTTTGCGGACGGAGTAATTCATGATGTAAACTATCATATTCAGTTGAAGCTTTACAACCTTAGCATATTTTTATTTCATATGACTTTGGGAAGAATTGTTGCTCATCCTAACTTTATCCTAACAGTAACAGATAAAACATTTTTTTAAACCTGCGTCATGAAACTTTTACACAGTAACAACAAAAATCCTGGATTCCTGATTTCTTGGTTTTGCAGAATCTCTCTGCCTCAGGCTG